TACAATAATTTCACATATTTATCGGATCAAAAGTATTTAAATCAAAAGGTTAACCATTTCTATTGGCATTCAATTGTGTTTAGGCTTAGTCATGAATCTTTTGAAATCTATATGAATCAAATTGTTTGTTGTATCTATGTGCTAATCAGATGTTAAGAATACATATTGAATCTAGTTTGTACCTGTTTTTAGTTAGTTTAGGTAAATGATTTTTTATTGGATCATATAGTTTTTTGTAAAATGTTTTTACATCCAGTTTTTGTTAGCCAAAGAAGACTTGTGTCAAACTTCCAAATTCAGAAAAGACTTGTTAATAATTTATCCGACTAAAATCAATTCCTTCAAGTGCAAATGAGTGTTTATTTTTACAGTTAAATTACATAAATATAGATAAAACAATAAAGTTTTAAAGAAAAAGAAAAACAATCTTAGCTGAATTTTAGTCAGTAAGAATTATAAAAGAAAACTCGTTCCACACTTTCCAACAACACTCACGCTTTCAAAACGCGTTGATAATATAAACACACACATACACACGCATATACACACACACAAATGCACACACCTAATTTTGAAATCTTTTAAAACAATTTAATGAACGAAAACAAAAAGTCATACACAATGCAAGCGATTAAAACAATATAAATTTATTATATAGACCGAAAAACCAAAGTAAATAAAAAATTCATTAATCAAATAAAAAAGTGTTTTCAAAAATTAATTCTATTAATTTTAATGGGATGTTATTTATGTTAAATTTCTCACTTAATGTATTAAGTTATTTATTATTATTGTATTAGTTAATCAACCGATTTATAAATTTTGTAAGTTACAAATAGTTTTTAATTTTAATTAAATTTGTAGTATTATTTTTTGATATTAGTTGTATTTATTTATTCATTTTTTTATTTTTATTAATTTTTTGCGCTTTTCAGATGTTTACCACGGCATCAATGGCAATATGTCGTTGGATAGGCGGGGTGAAATCGCCACGCCCCCGAGTCGTTACGATCTCACGCTGGGCTCCGACAAATCTTCATCGCTCTCACGGTCTGAGGCGGGCACTTATGATGTCATTCAGGCTGAGATACAGCACGCCAAGCGCCAGGAACTGGCCACAGGCGTGGCCAGCGCCCACAACGGGCATAATGGCAACGGAGGCCAACAAATATCCATGTCAAGCAACGGCCATGATGTCGAGGCAGAGGTCAAGAAGCGCAAATGGCCAACCGAGCCAAGCTACTTCCTAGCCAAAGAGCTGCTTATGACGGAGCGCACCTACAAAAAGGATCTGGATGTGCTGAACAACTCGTTTCGGCAGGTGCTTAGCGTAGAGGATGTGGAGCAGCTACAGCCGCTGTTCGAGCTTCTCGATTCGCTGGCACAGCACCATAATCTTTTCCTGCGCGACATCGAGCACCGCATGGTCACGTGGGAGGGGCGTGGCAATCACGATACCCATCGCATTGGCGACGTTATGATGAAGCACATGGGCTCGCTGCCCATATACGATGAGTATGTGCAAACGCATATGGATATCCTTCACTGTCTGAACGACATGTATGAGTCGGACCAGCGATTCCAGCAAATCTACAAGGAGTTCGAACAGCAGAAGATCTGCTATCTACCAATTGGCGAGCTGCTATTGAAGCCACTGAATCGCCTGCTGCACTATCAGCTGATACTGGAACGCCTCTGTGACTATTATGCCGAAGAGCATATCGACTATGCCGACTGCCAAGCAGTCTATCATCTGCTCATCCGCAGCACCAAGCAGATACGCGCCCAGCTGCCAGACTCGGCCAATTTTGTGGAGCTGTGCGAGCTGCAGCGCGACATTAGCTTTGAGCAACTAGTACAGCCGCATCGTCGACTCATTCGTCAGGGCTGCCTACTGAAGCACTCGAAGCGCGGCCTGCAGCAGCGCATGTTCTTCCTCTTCTCAGACATATTGCTCTACGGCAGTAAATCGCCGATCGATCAAAGTTTCCGCATACTCGGCCATGTGCCCGTCCGTTCGCTGCTCACCGAGAACGCCGAACACAACACGTTCTCCATATTTGGCGGACAGTGCGCCATCACGGTGAGTGCTGGCACCACCGCCGAGAAGACCCTTTGGCTGGCGGAGCTGTCCAAGGCGGCGGCCGACATCAAGAACAGACCACCAAACATGCAGTTGCAGCTGACCACACTCAAGAATTGCAGTGAGTATCACAAATGGTTTACAGGGCGTGGACATATACTATGAGCTAATATATACTATATATTAGCTCTGATTTCATAACCAGCTTTAACTACAGCGGATCGATATATATTTCTGTTGAATTAAATACAGAGTCACGTCTATATACAGGTGTTCAGATTGTCAGTCTGATTTTATATCACATTAGTTTACAGACCAGTTAATAGGAATATCATACTCTTTGATTCAATATGCTGTGATTTTTCTTCCTTTATGACGACTGAGAAAATACTCACAGGTTCTCTTTAATTATTTCTTATGGATGTGTTTATTATTTTAGATATATTTTCTATTTCCGTCTTCCGCTCTATTAAGAAAGCATTTTAATTAAGATTATTCTGTGTTGCGTAATCTCATATTACTGTTTATCATTCTCTTTACTTCACCATTCAACATCTCTATCTTTTATCTTTCTCTACTCTCATTATGGCTGGCAAGAAAAGCACGCTGCAAAGCATCGTAAGGCATTAAGAACCCCGTAACTCCCTTCCTGTGTATGCATAGACTGATTTAAACTGATCTGACCTCCCTCTGTAATTTTTATAGGCTCGTCGGAGGAGGGTCTGGACATGGTGGGACTAACCAACGGCACAAACAGCCTGAACAGCAGTGTAGGTGGCGCAGGCCCCTTGACTCCGCAACAGCTTCAGATGCAGCAGCAAAACAAGACACAGCCGTCACGAAGCAATACCGCACTACACGTCTGCTGGCATCGTGGCGCCACCGTTGGTCTGGGCGATCATCTCATTGCGGCAGAGAATCAGCTGTCCGGCTATCTGCTGCGTAAATTTAAGAATAGCTCCGGCTGGCAGAAGCTCTGGGTGGTCTTCACTTCGTTCTGTTTGTATTTCTATAAAAGCTATCAGGATGAGTTTGCGCTGGCTAGCCTACCGCTGCTGGGCTATACGGTGGGTCCGCCTGGCCATCAGGATGCTGTTCAAAAGGAGTTTGTCTTCAAGCTGTCCTTCAAGAATCACGTGTACTTCTTCAGAGCAGAAAGTGCTCACACCTACAACAGGTGAGTTGACTTGAAGATGTCATCGACAAAGAGCTCTATTAATGATTTCGATTTTGTTGCAGGTGGTTGGAAGTGTTGCGCAGCACTACTCAAACGCAAGATTTTAAGAACGTACACAGCCATACGTCCGGCAATTAAATCCAACTCTGAAATGTCCAATCATCATATATACAATTCTTGTGCAATTCCATGGAACAGCCACGTTGCATCACAATGAAGCTGAAGCCATCATAGAAATGCCCACTAGTATTCCCTATACAAAAAAACATAAATCTATATATACATAACGTATACACCACAAAACAATTCCCTTTTACATATTTTACATATATACACGGCTTACGCATACGCAAAATAATTAAGTTAAGTTCACATTTCCATGTAAATAACGCCTCGTATTTTACTTGTTTCTGCATTTTGTTCTATGTGCTGGTCTCTAATTTTACACTCTATATAGACACTTTGTATTTTTGTGTGGTTTAATATTACTATTATTCTCTATAGAAGTATTTTTTTAAACAACTTGTGTGTCAAATTATGCAAATTACAAAACAATTTAAAATTGCAATGGTTATAGTCTTACAATAAATAAAGTATATATAAACGAAGATTTGTAATTAAATGCCTTACGACACTTTGAGTCGCTTTACAAAAAATCTAAAACGATTATAAAAGATGCAATAATTTTGAAAGTCTTTAATTAATCACTAAGCTTAAGTCATTAAATTTAATAGATATTAACAAATTAATAAAAATTTGAGCAATAAAAATATATTTGTGTTTAATTTACATAAAATTTTCAGATATAATTGAATTCTCAACTGATAAAAAATATGTACATATATGTTCCTCCCCTCCCCCAAACCAAAAAGAAATTCCATACATGTTTTGTTATATTTTCCATTTATTGATATTTGAAATCTATAAGGTAAATTGTTATCATTTGCTTCATTTTTTTGTTGTTTGCAATTGTTCATTTTTCTTGTGGTTTCTATATAATAGAGCTTTAAAAGGATTGCAATATTATTGAGTACAATTTTAATATGTATTAAATTAATTATACAAAAAAGAAAAACAACATGCTGCTATTGTGGATTATCCATAAAGATTTAGATGATGCTCAGAGCATCATCAACATCATCATTATCATTGTACGATATAATCATGGTCTAACACACAAAGTGCAAAAGTGGAGGGTCATAGCAAAAGAAACAGCAAGTTAAAAACATATTCTATAGAACAATCGATTGTAAATATACGCTTAATACTAAAACTAAATAGTGGATAATGCCTCTTGCCAGCCAAGACACTAAAGAGTGTATCAAATTGTTACGATTTAGCGAGTTGCAAATGGCAGTTATGAGGTGTTTTAGAATCTAATAACTATGCATATAGTGGGACATATGTGGGCGTGTGGGGACAGGTTGTTACTTAAATGAATACCCATTGCAATGAGCCTCAATTCGAAGTATACAAACTAGGTCAACAACACATGGATTTACAAATAGGCTCGTTAGGATTGGTGTTATTTCTGTTGGTCACTGGACAGAAGCCGCAGCTTTTATGCATAAGAACATACAGTTTGAAAAATTAATTTGACAGCGCTTACACACAGTTTAGCATATCATATCATAGATCTGTTCTTAAAGAGATTTTTGCATATATTTTTTATTTAATTTGCATGCTAACAACTAACATTTAATTGTAATTATAGTTTAGTACTCGGTAAATTTCACAACGTTTTTTTTTTCTTTTTTGTTGTTTTAATTTTTGCCAATTAACTTATTAACCAATGTAGGTAGCTTGTGCGAATAATCATCATATTATATATTTGATTAGCATGACGCTCGCTGGCGAAAAATTCTTTGATGCAACTAGATGTTCAACTAGGCAGCTTGCGAATTTATGTAGCGGATTATAGTCATATATTACGCTTATCATCTCTTCCTTAAAACAAGGCAAGTTTTAATTGAAATGCACATTCTTTAGCTTTTTTCAGTATCTTATCATGTAGACACATCAATTAGATTATATATTAGGTTACATTTCTGTTTTAAATTTATGCTTCGATTTTGGTTTGGATTAAACTGGAAAATTAAGTAATTTACGCAATTGTTCGACTTTTTTTAATCAGTTTTTTATTATTATTATTATTATTAATAACTTTTCTGCTGCTATTTCAATTATAACATTAAATTGTTGATGTTATCATTATTATTGTTAGCTTATGAGAGGCTGAGCAGATATTTAAATATCTATTGTTGACGCCTGAAGTTGATGCGGCTTACTTAATTTTTTGTTGCTGCTTCAGTGGGTTGTTGTTTGTGTTGATGCTTTTGTCGTGTGTCTTCGATTAAAACAATTTGCCGAAAATATAAACTGCCCTGTTCCTCGGGTATAAATATATATATATATGAATATATATATATAAATATAAATACATATATATATATATATATATATATATATTGTGTTTGTGTATGCGTGTACGTATGAGTGTGTGTGCGCGGGTATGCGTGTCTGTCTGTATAGTGAGCCTGTGTGTATGGAAGAGTGTGTGTTTGCTTTAGGCGCTGTTACAATTTCATAGCATTATAAATATTATAAATATATCTGATATTTAAACTTGTAAACTTGTTTATATTATTGCATGTTCTTGTTGAAGTTGCTTTCTGCAAGTCGCTGTTGCTCCTGGCTCTGCTGCTGATGATGTTGTTGCTTTTGCTGTTGGCTTTAAAGTGGGCGCATGGCTAATCGATAAAACTTTGCTCCACACAGGCTTTCACACGCTTCTCATACTCGCGACGATTCTCTTTATACAGCTGGGCGGCGGTGGAGTTGGCCGGTGAATTGGGATTGGGATCGCTCAGCAGTGACTGAAATGTCAGAATACCATTAATATTACAGTTAATATTGGTTATTTAAAAATATCTAGTCGTCTTACCTGTATGGATGTTAAAATAGCTGACACATCATATGTGGGACTCCAGCGATTCTGCAATATATCCAAACATATGCCACCATCTGCATAAACATTTGGATGAAATACTTTCGATACGAATCGAACTGTTGGCGGTTTATTTGGATATTCTTCCGTAAATTCTATGGTTAACTTAAAGGTACCGTCTTCGAACGGTGTATCGTGTGGACCAAAAATCACAGCATTCCATATCATAATATTATTATCTGTTGGCGCACCCGAAACACCCGTTGGTGGGTCCTCCTGAAGTCTGCAAGTAATTAGAAAATGAAGTGTAAAAGATGTATTAAATATATATATATATTCAATGGTTTAGTGTAAATCATGAATGGGCAGCTACCTTAATAGCTGAGAAACTTTCCTGTAGAATTTGTATCTATGTGTAGCAAGCTTATCAGATATATTGATTATATTAATACATAAGTCACGTAAAAGAAGCTTAGATTAGTTGGGGAATATGTCTAGGTCAGCATAGCGAACGCATATTTATTCTGCACCGTCTCTAAAATTTGAACAATGAGAATCCAAGCAAAACAGGCATCAAATCGATGTGAGACGCTGAACGAGATGCAAATAAATAATTGCTGCACATGGGTGACTAATCTTGTGTGGTCTGTGCCTACACATATTTGTGTATATACATATATACACATATAGTATAAATGTGTCTACTCAGTCAAGAAGTGTCTTGTCATGGTTTTAATATACATATTTCCCCTTGGGGTCTGTTGTTCCGGCAATTGTTTACAATCAAAAGCTGCTTTAATGTGTGGGTTGCAATTTTCATTCTGTCGAGTTCATTGCGCACAGCGCTTAAAAATAGATGCAAATCATATTTTCGATTCTGTGTGTCGATCTCTAAACAGGTAACGGATATTTATTAAACTAGATCAATAGCCAACTGCAACACACTGAGTCCCATTCGATGTACACTGATTCCCAGGCGCACTGTGGCAGACACCAGATACTATTTAGGTCAAGCATGCACACAAGGAAAAGGTAGACAAGCACTTGTATGTGCAACAGCTATGAGCTGAAAGAGAAGAACCAGCAACAGCGACACCGATGTCAGCTAACCGCGCCCTTCAATCGGCTAAATCAATACAAATGACAAAGCCAAAAAATGAAATCATCGATTTAACAACAAAAACAAACCACTACATATACACATTTGATATCTAAAATTATATAAATGGTAAAAATAACAAGGAAACCAACAAAAGCGACCAACGATGAATTTGATAAACAAACGGATATTGCGGTGGGTGGCACTGGGTGGCAGATATGGAACAGTTTCTAATTATTCAAAACAACTGAGCTACCGTTCACAACTTTTATCTACGTACCGATCAAAGTTTCTCTTATATTGTTATTTAAATTATAAATTAATAAAATAAAAATCAGACACGCACCCAAATCTATTGAGTCTTGTAATTTCTGCTGCCTTGGCGCAGCCTTGACATTTACTTTACACAAGGAGGAATAACCCAACCCAGTTTTACTCCCCCACAAGCGTAATGTCCCTTATTCAATCAAGTACTTTCATAGTTGGGCAGGGAAATTTATAAAAAGTAAACCAAGGGAAATGGTAAGAATTGAACCAAGTAATGAAATTGAATGGCAAAACTACAACAACCACAACAGTGAATGAAATTCCAATAAGACGCTGCGCTGCTCTGCTTTGCTGAGTTCAGCAGCAGAGTATGAGTCAACAAAGTTGCGAGTGACGAAATATTTTGATACAGTAGAGAAAATCAGGATGAAGATAACTTTCTTTTGCGGGCAAAGGGTAGCAATAATTTGATTATGGTTGCTCTCGTGCTTTCTGCTCTGATTAGCAAGTGTTGCTGTTGTTGCTGCTGTTGATGTTTTGGCTGCGACGCAATTGCACAAACGGAAAAAAGAATTTTGTACATTACGCTTTGCATTTGTTTTTTTATTTTGCTTTGCGCAGATTTGCTTTACATGTGATTTCGTTTTGTGCTATGCTTCAAAGTCAAGTGTCAAAGACGCAAGCAACATAAGCATGTTGTTTTTGTAGATACTGCTGTAGTAGTCTCACAAAATAAAAAGCAGCGAGAAAGACAACGTACAAACACACAAAGTCAAAACTTGTACGCAGGTCACATACACACATGCACAATTTGTATTTTGGCTGCGCAAACTTTTCCACGGGCATATGTACATACGCATATATGTATATATATATACACATATATATATATATATATATATATATATATATATATATATATATAAATAATGCTTGTGTGTATGTGTGAGCATACATACACACATATGTCGACTCGTTTCTCCATTTCATACCAGAACTGTCGTTGTGTGTGTACTTTTCTTACCTTTTAAAATCTCTCATAAGACGTCTGCGTGCGGGTGTTGACATGTTCTACAACGTTACTACCACTTGTGTTAAATGTTAACTAGAACGTTTAAGCAATGCGATTTTTATAAACAGAAACAGTGAAATTTTGTAATTTTATTTTTAATTGAGGGCACTGAGCAGCGTAAGAAAATGTATCGATACTTCGCACATACCCAACTATGTAATGCTCGATACTCGATATCTAAAAGAGCTGCCAGCTTGTTTCTATCGCGATACGATAATACGATACTGTCCACTTAACAGACGTACTCAACTAAATACAAAACTTTACTCCACAATCAACATTAGTGACAGTTCTTCCTTTCTGTATGCCCTTAATATATTAAATTGTGGCCGTAATGGAAGACAACTAGCTGTTCTTACAATAATTTGTTAAAACAAATTTTTGCTTCTGATATATATATATTTTTTTTCCCCAATTATTTAGCGTTAGCTGTTAATGACTGTTCTTCTAATGTAAACTTATACACTATGTTAATTCTTTCCATTTAACATTTCCCTGAAGATGAAGAAAACAAAACAAACTGCAAGGGCAATTATTGCGGCAAAAATAAACAAACGCGCAGAACAAGTATGAAATTAGATTTTTTATAAAATGTGATATATAAACTATAAGCTATAAATTATTAATATTTTCTGAGTGGTAATGATAAGTATGTCGACCAGACAATACTATACTTCCAACAAATTTACTTGTGCTCAATTAAAGTTTATTTATGAATTATATTAAAACTAACATTGAGAAATTAACTGTATCACAAGTAATAGCATATAGAACATTAATCATGCCATTTTTCATTAAACTGGAAAGAGTTCATTGTAGGTAAAATTCTCCAGGATTTTGGTGGCAACTGCCCGGAACTTGATCTCCAATGCACGAGCAATGGGCGCTATCACTTCATTTGTGAATAACTCGAAGTTGTCATTGATTGTCTGATTGATCACATCACCCAATACTTTGTCGCCATTGAAGAGATTTTCCAGACGTAGACGACCCTTGCCCGTGCGTATCCTCAAACCAAATTCCTTCAGCTCGAAATAATCAACGTCGTTGACGTTTTTAATGTCGTAAGCGATGCGCACGTAGGCCACAAAGTTGGTAAAGTTGCCCACGAAGGGCCCGTTGCCCTTGATGGGCAGCGCCAGTATATTGCCATTAATATCATATTGACCCTCTCCTTTCAGTAGCGGCAATATCAGCTCAAAATCGAAGCGTTTGTTTTGTATGGAGGCGCGCATTTTGGTTATCTCAAAGTTCGACGCACCGTAGACACTCAACTTCTTGGCCTTGACTGTGATGCCACTAGAACCACCCTCTAGTATATTCAGGTCACCAATGTAAAGTGGCTCCAGAGCGGGCACATTGATTTCCTTGATGCCATTGCCCAAATATGGACGCAAATTGTGAACACTTTGCTTTACGCATTTGGAGAGCTCGGGATCGTGGCGATGGCAGATCTGGATATAGTCCGCTAAAGGAATGAATATATAGTTAGGGTAAATATATGCATATGATAATAAGTACTAATTAAACTCACGCATAATTGATGCGAAGGTGTAGCCGATGCAGCAGAGCAAGAAGGTGGCTGCAATGATTCTGGACTCCATTTTAGACTTCCCTGCAAAGAGTGAGATTATTAGCTTTGGCATCAACTCTTCGAACATGTTTAATGTTGACACCACTATTAAGCCTATAAATTGTGTCTGTCCGCCTACCAGCTAAACACTTTTATTAATGACCATTCAAAATGGGTTATACAAAGTCATTAGACTATTATTAGGCTTATTGACGTCACAGTAGCTTTATTAATTTGATAATACTTGACGATTTGATTGGCATCAAGCGCATTTACCAGGTCTCGCTTAAGTACAGCCCCCAACAATACAATTCATATAATTAAGCATGTCGCTGATTCTAGACGTTGTTAAGAAAGCTTTACAGTCCTTAAGTAGAATGAGTTTTGGCGTCGCGATTCGCTGGACTTAATATTTCTGTCTTGCATCTAATTATATATTTACAGTGTTAATTATTGGCCATAAAATTAAATAGAGAGAGCGCTCACGAGTGTCTGGTCTGTGGAGCTTGTGAGTTGGGCTCTACAGGGGCCTAGCTGGGGCCGCCAGACGGGTCGCAGGTTGCGGATAGCGAACGGCCTCATACCAGAGGTTAGCTGCGAATAAGTGCAACTTCCCACAAATAAGCAGTCCCGGACAGTCAGCGGATGCGTGGCGGCTAACCATCGCATCGGCAAGGCGCTTGTGCTGCCGCCTTCTTAAAAGCATAGCTGCACACACTTACACGCACTCACACCTGGGCTGGACTAAGGTGTCAGTCGACCCGTGCCGAGAGTCAACCCGGCTGGGGGCCCAGGTTCAACAAAACTAGCCCAGTTTCAAACGGAGAGCTCAGGCAAGTGGCGATCGCCTGTTCTATGCAGCCTTGCTCGGGTATTGCGGATCTCTGCCCGGGTCGACCTGTCTCTCTCTCCGCAACTCGTGGGAACAAAATACAATGAATTCAAATCAACAAAACCCAAAACGGGAGTTCGGTCCTCCAAATCAAAGACCAAGGAATACAACTGGCTTCGCTAGAGGAGGAAGAGGAGCTGGATTAATCAAGGGCAACCGCCCAAAAAATGTCAAGCAAATACAGCCACAGTCCGGCACATTCGGCGAAACACCAACGCCACTGGTAAGCAGAAGACCTGCACATTTTTTCAGACCCGATCCAGCAAAAGCTACTAAACTTGATAAAGCCAAAGCCACTCGCATATTAAAACGCAATGCTTACGCACCGATTACTGAAGATCAGGCTTCGTCGAGGCAGGACTATTTTAAAATTCAAGAGGATATCGCTTGGGCAAGAGCTGTGTTGCCAAATTTTGAAGTTGGCTCTGTAAGCCCTAATCAGCCTGTGGATGCTGAGCCCATACTGGAGACATTGATTGTTGAAGTTAGGAATAAGGCAACAACGCGAGAGCATGGAGAGCTCGGAAGAACTGATGTAGCGTCTGCAGGCCATGTAAGCCCCTATCATTCTGACGACTCTTCCGCGGCAAAGCGCACCAGATCTAGTGAGAGCCCCTTAAGATCTTTTGCAGCAATGGCGAGAGGACGACAGATAATTGGTGTCATTGATAGCAGCCAGCCGGATGGCAAAATTCCTCGAAATCAATGGTGCTGGATACAGGCCGCTATGGCAGCCGTTGCCCTAGAGGTATTGCGAGATGACCCAGGACCGCCGCCCTCATGCATGGACATCGGATGGTTTCAAGGGACTACCAAGCTGATAGCCTGCGACAATGAGCGATCTGTCCTGCTTTACAGAGCTGCGATTGCCAAGATTGGCGAAGTATACCCAGGAGCTCAGTTAGAAGTGATTGATGTGCAGGACATACCATCGCGTCCTTGGGCTACAGCTTGGCTACCGGAAACGCCATCCGAGTCCAATGACATTCTCGAATTGCTAACAAGATTCAACCCGAACTTGCCGACAAACGACTGGAAGGTTATTAAAGCGATCAGGTTCAGGGAGGCTGCCATGGAGGTGATATTTCAGATCAATCAAGAGGCAATCCTTTACCTAACAAGGTGCGATGGTCTATTAAGCTATGGCTTCAATAAGATCCACATGAAATACTACGCAACGCCATACGAAGCGCTCTCAGACCTAGAAGCATTTGCAGCGGCTGTCGATCCACCCAGTGATGATGAAAAGGAAGCCACCGACGGGGCTTTAAGCGAGGAACTATCCTCGGAGTCCGAGTGTGAAGGCAGTCGCCACAGCCTTCAATAGGTAATAGCTAATCCAAAACCAACTGTTAAGCTAAACTTAGGCCGCGATTTTATAAGCCATTGCAGAGAACAAACCAAACTGAAATACCTACTAGACGTTAAAGTTAAATAAACTGAAAACCTTACTAAAGCTAAACTTTTTATTATTCTCGATGAGGTTCACTGTTTCAAAGTGCAGTTTGTTTTAAGGTATTTATAGTTTATTTTGAACAACACACTCGCGAAGTCTTTGGAGAAATTTTAATTAAGTTTTCCTGTTGACTTTTTTTTTTTTTTAATATGGTTTAAAATGAATTATTGTAAAACTTTTTTTTCGAAGAACATGTTACTAACTTTTAATATATTTATTTAGTTTTGTTGATTTTTCGTTGTGAACTGAAGACCGTTTTATCTAGTTGACTTGAGTTGCTTTTTGTGTGTTTGTTGTGTTTTAGTAACCGTCTACAGATCGTACTGAATGCAAAATTGTTGAGGCGTTCGCGTTTTATAGCAAAGCATTGACGCTTCGATTTACATGAGAGCTGCTAGCGAGCTTAGAACCGGGCAGCGTAGAACCCCAAAACACGTTGACAATGCCCGGGCCAGAGCAAGTGCGGTTGCGGGAGCTGAAGGCAGAAATACGCTGGGGGTTAATAGTGAGAACGACATGTTAAGCGGCTGCGGGTTAATCATAATAATAATCTTAATGATCGCATTCACACAAATATGTTTCTCTGTGTGCGCGTGTGTGGCAATACCCGGCCCACAGAAAAAGCTACAGTCAGGCTATCCAGTTAAGCTATAGCTCGAGCTGCCCCTCTTGGTATACCTTATATATAAATATATTTAATTATACGATTTGTTCGATTACTTTCATTAATGTTGTTGATTTTTTGTTTCTCTCTTTCAAGGCACTTAATTTAGAAAATTTGTAAGTAGGGGCCCTCGAGTCGTGTTGACAATCCGTCGAGCTTTGTTTTAGAAATTGCATCGCCTGTCATCGGAATATTATATAATTTGACTGGAGCTCGGAAGGCAAGACTGTGACTACGGGTACGGTTACGGCTGACATGGTTCACTGCGACAACTGATGGGCGTCCCATGGCGTCTGTTATGGCTAAAAAATTGTTCAAGCACACGCAAGTGGACGAGTTATTATAATTAGATTATACATTTGAAACGTTAAGGAAAAGCTGTTTAGGCGTTCGAGTTCAATAATTCAAGTGCGAGCTGCATTTTTAAAGAAAGCTAAAGCTGTTTAAGTAATAAGCGCACTTCTCTTACACAAGTTGCGATATTTCTAAAAACAACTTCACTTTTTGGGAAAGAATATTAAATGATCAAAATATAAGACATTACCTTTTCTATCCTTGATCTTTGACAACATTTTCGATGTTTCGCTTTGTAATCGATCTAAATAGGTGAGAATGAAATATATTCATGTATTGTGACCAAGATTTTTCTTAGTCGTCAGCTACCAACGTAACACATTCTTTTGATGGCATATTTTCATGTTATTCAATTTCATTTTACAGTTTTGCATTCATTCATAATGTCGAGACCTTCAATTTTCATATCGACCCTCCCATTGCCGGCGACCTAATGATAATAGCGAGCCAACTCTTAACCTGTGATCACAGTTATATAATGCTGAAACAGTATTAAAGCAGAAGCCACATTTTATAGCGGAAATTAAATAACCAGCGAATTCATATAATTTTTGACACAAATAAAGTATTCACATGTTTTCGATTTACATTTGTATATTTCGTATAGTTGTTTATTAGATCGTTTATTTTTTTCTTGGGTGAGTTTGTGTGCAATAAATTAATGCTTAGCTATTCTATAGTACTCTTCGGACGCTAAATTGAAAAGAACTAACTAATTCAAATTGATCCATTCATCTAGCGGTATTTTAGCAAACAGGCGATCCATAAAGTTGCGTATGACGAGAGTCAGTTTGGTGCGAAGCGCCGGCTTCATTTCCTTGAGCAGCTCCTGGGAGTTCGAGTTGATGAACAGATTGAGAGCGGCCTCTGCAGTGGGTAAATACTTTAGAACTGGATCTATTGGCAAATTAAATGAGGTTTACTCACGTATAACTGTGTTGCCGTTGGCAATGTTATCTACGCCCATCTGTATTTCCTTGACATTGAAGTCCATTTTGACCGAGTCGGTGGTCAGATATGTGCGTCCATCGGCGGCCTCATTGGCCAAAGCCTTGAAGTAGATCTTGGCCTTGACACCCTCTTTAAGGTGGAAGTCATTTTAAAGGATTATTTGGTAGTCTATGCTGCGCTACTCACCGTATTCGCCCCAGTAGTCGCCAGCACCGGAGGCCTTTACCAAGATCAGAACACCTGTGGACCGATATTGAGCCTTGACGCGTATGCGGGGTATTTCACATGTCAGCTGGAACTGCAGCGAATCCAAGTCAGAGCTGCAAATGACGGATGACAATGACAGTGATAATGACACAATGATGATATATGAGTTCAAGCTACGGCTAGATAGACACAAAACTGCTATTTCATTGCTGGATGTGCTAATGCATTGGCATTTTTTGTCATTGTTGAGCTTCTAAATCTTAATTCAATGTCGCAGTCGTGTGTGGCAGCTAACTCCACCTCGACCTTCGATTCTGGCACAGCCGACAATTGACAGACTCGCGACGACGAAACTGGTGCAAGTTACACAAAAAAAAACCTGTATTCTCTGAGAAATATTCAGCTGCTCGTTCTAGATCGAGCTGAGATAGGAAATATTAGCTACAGTTGAAAAAAAAAAATTTAAAAAGAATACTTTTTAAAATGTGATCTAAGATGTGGAATACTTTGGAATAGCACCAGTTCTCTGAGATGAAGTTCTCTGGTTCAGTTTACTATTAATTCTGTTATTCCCCATCATTTCGCTTAGTGTAATTTGGCAAGCTGCAACCCCATGTTGAATCCAAAATCGAATTCCAAAAGTGAATTGCAAATGAAACTGGCTGTTGGCAACTTGGTTGGCCGATACTACAAGAGACTACTAAACAAATTGTTGACATAGAGAATCGCTTTGACCCACATTTGCTTGGCTATCGCCCGCTTTTGCACTCGAAGCTCTTTAGATGATTCGCTGCTCCGAGCTATGTAAATGATTCTGAGTGCTTTGCTAAGGGTATATCAACTTAATTTTGAGTTCTGAGGCGCACAGAAGAAGACTTGTTATTTCATTTATTTATTTCAATATACCCTGGCCCATTCATACAAATATTATTATATCCATGGCCACACTAAAAAGAGCCCTAATAAAATCAAGCCTTTAAATCATATGCAATGAAGAGCTAAGGGCTATGCAAATCGTGCACGAGTTGTTTCTCTTCAGTGAGTGCATCAATACTTCGCCTAACCGAACACACAAGTTCTTGCTTGTATAAGCAGCACTTGTTAACGGAATATTGTCGTGTGTGCTTGGAGCAAATTGTTGAATCTATTGCTTGCGGCTAGGTCAAGGATTTAATGTTGCATAATCTTGGAGTCGAGGCTGGTTTCGAACGGGCGTCACACATATGTATATATGTAGATAGCCCAAAATGTTTCTATCTTTTCGATTACTACCATAAAATATAGTTGACATGTAATTGGATTTCGTTTGGGGGCTTGATTCACTACTTAAATATAATTGTGCTTACGAAAATTCTCACTAAACACTTATTCAGAGCTTGACACATTCATATTCTATTAATATTCAACGGTTATTGCCCCAATCGACAGTTCCACTAATTGCCCACCAACGTGCGCTTCAGTAGAACTTACCTCAACGGTAATTTATGATCTATATATATATCGATTTCCCATTTGCAGTAAATATTGAACCAAACCCTATTATATATGGCAATTACGCGTTATGAAAAGTCCAGAAAATGCAACCGATTATAGGAAATCAATCTCCCTCGGCCAAAAGAGAGATGCATTTAAGAGCTGTAGAGAATAAATATATGAACCAAAAATACAAGCCACAAGGGGCCTACTCATAATTCTAGCAAACAGCTTTTGAGACCGCAATTACGAGTGCACGTTGCAATCGAGCGAAACTGACCGCATAATACTTGTTGAAGGCGCAAAGGTAACTAAATTGATTCAATATGTTAATCATTTGTTGATCGGCAGACCATGTATGACAATGTTTATGGTGCGAGATTCGCAGCACCGAATACTGAGTTATATTTTCTTACGAGCTCCTAATGTGCCCAATTTCTGTTCTTAGGCTTTATCAGTTCCAAGTCAAGTTCAATATCATAAAAAATTCCATGAAGCTTTTCGAAAATCTTAACCCTATAATACAAGTATATGTTCAAAATTTAAGTGTTTGAATTATTCATTTGAAAAGGAGGAAGGCTACCAAAAACAATATGCTCACTTCTCTTCGTGAAGGAGTATACAAATTGCATTCATGAAAATACTTCTTAGTTGCGATCGCGTGCCAGGCAAATGCTCAGACGCATTGCTGGAATGTTTGACTGAGCAAATGAAAAACGAGCTGAAAACGATGCGAATATTTTAAGACGGAAAGAAAACAATATTTGTGATATGCAACTGTTAAATACTCTGACTCTAATTAGTAACTTATGAAATTTAAATTGATCAAGAAGTGTGCATAAGAAAGGGGAAAAAATGTGTTTTCATGGAGAAACTCAACTGAGGCTTGTACTAAAATTGTCGTTGTTCTCTTCAGCAATAGAGTATCACAGTGGAGTACCTTGCTTAAATATCGCGTTAGTCAGGGTCAAAGCAATAACAAAAAGCGCTAATACGCACTGATCACAGTGCAAGTATGTTAAACGTGACCCCACTTTAAAGCTAACCACATAATGTGTCGTATTCTCCAAATAACTGACTCACTGAGCAACATATGACGATCGCAGCGAGAGAAAACTTTAAGGTAAGGGAGCCATAAAAAGTAAATCTATTCTGGAATGAGGAATGTATACCTACCGGACATTTGTAACAGTTATATTGCTAACGCCAAAGGCTTGGATATTGCGGAAGAGTGCACGATAGCCATCCGGGCCGCTGCCCAGCACAATGCCAATCTCATCAATAATCACTGGCTCAATCTAGAAGAGAACGTGTGGGAGAGAGAGAGAGGATGACTAGACATTTAGTTTATTGGAAAACGAGTCGGAGCTTACCTCGTAAATATCCAATTCGGGTATGCCCTTCTGTAGATAATGCACCAATTTGTTGCCGCTGTCACGTAGACACTCATTGATAACTGCCTCGTCGCGTGGGCATTGCTGCAGATAGTAGGCTGTAGGAAATGCAGAGAGAAGGAAAGAGAGAGAGAGAGATCATTAACAGAGAAAGAGAGGGTGAGTATCACAATTCAGGAAGTAAGAGTAAGAGAGAGGGTAATACTGAGCATTACAGTGTGACCAGCTATGACTGTGAAACATTTCCCAGTTCAATGTAGTTTCTTGCCCGCTTGTTTCTTAGGTTATCAACTTTTGTTAATTGTCTTTTGTTTTCTTTATTTTATTTTGTTTTTAATACGTTTTTCTTCAAGCTGAAACTATAAACATTGTGCATCCGAGTGAAGCGAAATAATTGCAGCACGGCTCGCAATTGCGCTTAGTTCAAGTTCGCGCAGTGCCGATCCACACCGGCGGATAAGATCAATCTCAGGTAAAGGCGTGAGCATGCTTAGTAATCAACTTGTTATTGCCTGGCCACATGCTTCGGACAGACTTGATGTGACAGCTTTATTGGTGGGTTTCATCAACGTCTAGGGTATAACTGTGTGTCTACATTGCCTATCCAGATGGGGCATGAACTCAAGTACATGAAGCATCAGTTTCAGAGCTACCGAGTATTCAAATTAGACTGCTCTCTGCTAAAGTATTATCTAATACTCTTACCTAACTTCAGATGGCTTGTTTATCATCGCTTAACATCTTCATAAATGATTAACTGTTTACAATTATTCAGATGAAATATATCTCGGTAGCTTCTACAGTCTGAAAATTTCGATTTGTATGCCTGTTGCCTGAGAAGTTGATATACTAGCCATCCGCTAAGATTGAACAGTAGTAAAATTCTTTAAAATTTACTTGCTGAAATCGAGCAGAAATATTTCGAACGGAACTACTAGATAATCACAATCCATAAGAACAATGCTTATATAGTATATACGGATATACATATCTGCATATTCATATATAAATAAACATATGTACATATATATTTGCGAATATATGGCATGGCACGTCTTATTGGAGTTTAATTCTAAGAATAACATTTATATGGCTTTCTAAAAACAGCTTCGTTTTATAGCTGTGGATTATTAAATGCGCTCTCAAAAAATCTTGATCTCAGCTGCGATTAAATTATATTTAGCAATTTGAATGGGTCTGTCATATGCCCTTTGCCTTTAGGGGACTTTTACTAGTACATAGTTAAATAATTCTTGGAAATGTCAGCTCCATGTCTGGCGCTAACTTTCGATGTGGCTGCGCACGTTTTGTGCGTGCAATTAAAACCGAGTTGAGCGTCGTTTAAGCCAAGTTATAAGCGACGTGATCGCCAGCATAGCTTGGGCCCCTCTTTAAGGACTGGAAAGCGCCGATAGAAAGCTCGATTTCTTGCGAGTTCCTTATCTATTGGAATTCGATATTTGGCAATACTCACGCTGTTGCTGGGCCCAAATGGCGCCCACTGTGGACAGCAGCAATACTATTCCAAATTTGCGGCACATTGTTGTTGTTGTTGATGTTGCTGTCGGGTGTTTGGTCGGTCTGCATGAAAGTACAAGTAAAAATAAATAGTTATGAGTGTTGTTTCACTTTTAGCTGGGTTTCATAATTTATTAGCACGTTTCTTTCATGTTTCATATGCTAATTTCTGTCCGTCTGTGGCCGTTCGTCTATGCGTAAGAGCGAAAGCGTTTCAGGAGATCTTAAATTTCAGTGCACACACACAATAGCACACACGCACACAAAATGGAACATACAGTGTATATAAATTTCACTCTGCCCTCGAAATTCTAGCGGGCTCCGCTCGTATGTGGGTCAAAGCGGACCAGTTCGCTGCGCTTCGAGTTATTTTGTTTGTTCTTTCTCGCTGGCTGACGATAAAAACAGAATTGAAACCGAAGTGAATGAATTGCTTTCTTCTGAAGGTTGCTGCTGGTTTGCTTTCTTTGCGCCGACTGCCGTCCAACTTTCACGCGACTTGAGCGAGGAATGAGCCAGCACTGCATTGGACCAAGCCATTTAACCAAAAAACGCAACCAGCCAGCCAGCATGGCGGCTAAAAGAAATGAGTCGAGTCGAAAGCAGAGCCGAAGGCGTACGCAAAGTGCATTTCAGCAGCGAACAAAGGCCACTAAATGGGGCCACACCCACTGCCCAGCACATGCAACAGGGCTTGGGCTTGGGTTTGGGTTCGGGTCCGCGACTTGAAGGTTAAGTTCATGCCGTGAGCTGGTCGGTCTTTGACTTGGCCTGGCCTCGCGAGGCTTGGTGTGGCCTGGCGTTTTAAATCAGCGTAATGATCCGTACCGTGAATCATGAGCTTCATTAGCCCAGGGATTAGTTGTGCTTAGTCCTGCGTGCCGTGCATGCAGCATAGGCTCTATATCATCTTTGCAGTCGGAAACTATTTTTATGCCTTATGAATAGGTGGCAATTCGTGCCCTTTTGTGGCCAAGCAGGTGAGCTATTAGACTGGCTCAAAGAGTGCCTCTCTGAAAGGTCAAGTGCTGGCATTTGCCATTCGCCACTCGCCGTATTCCGTTCGCATTTCACACGCTCTAAGCATTTGCATGCGAACAATAAGAGCAAGCAAAAGGCGCTTTCATTGAACACAACAAATTATGCTGTTGCTTGGAAAGCCATCAATCACACTTATTTATGGCGAATTCCTTTGACACGCCCCCATCCAAAGAATTGTAATTTGAAAAGGCTATAAAGAACTTAAAGAACTTTATGCAAACAATGCCCAAAGCGTGTGTGGTGCATTTTAATTATACAATTGCTGCTCCTTTATTATGAAGTGGGTTCCATTTGTTATTGTATTAAATAATATTTGTGAATAAAGGTTTATATACAATCAAAATCACGATGCAGAAAGTAATAAATTGTATGAGCTCACTTTTTGTACTACAAAATTAAGAAACCATTGCATACTTTCAAGCGCGTCTACAAAATCAACAGTCGCTACAGTCGCGGCATGCATATTAGTCCCACTGCACATGGCAGCTTACAGGTTTTGATGGTTACGGTCAAGGTTATTTTTATTGGTCATTGTGCTCATTGCGTTTTGTTTATATGTTTTATTGTTGTTGGAAGTTTCCCTGTTGACAGTCGCTGTTGCTGAAGGCTCTTTTGCCAAAATAGAGAAATGGGTTAGCAAATATATTTATCTAAATATATTAACTAGAATAAACTAACTTCAAATGCGAACGCATATGATGACCTAGAAACTTGCACTTCCTTGACTCTCTTGTTTATAATATTTTGCGAATATGCGTTGATTTAATTAATAAGAGTCGTCTACTGAGTTGAGAACTTATTTATCCTAACGCTTCCACGCTTGGAAACAAGTTTCTATAGATAGCTAATTAAATCAATTTTTTTTTAGTTAATTGAAGCCTATAAAATTCCAGTTTTCTGGAACTCGTTCCTTTAAATTATGAATAGCTTTAAAAGACCATAAAACTTAGCTGACTCCACTGTTTACGCCTTTATTCTTGTTATAATTAAGTGGATACTTTTGGTGATTTTTTGGAAACAATATTCTGGGAGTGCTGGTGGAAATACTTATGTACATATATGTAGTCCTCTAATGTGCCGAGCCCAGTGGATGGCAGAACAAAGCTGTCTAATTATTTAAATAACAATGCGAGTACTTGAGACAATGGTGTGAGAAACGTTTTCCTGTACCATTTACTATTTATCTATTTGCTCTGGCTCCTCTTTAAGTATTTCCCACTATTGTCATAAGCCATATTGGTATGCGTATTGTGCGGCACGGGCACTCGTAAACAAGCTCACATTTATTATGTGCTAGAATCGACTGGGGGCCTTTGTATATGTATGCATTGGCACTTCCCCAATCTGTACTTGTCAGGGCCATTGTAAACAGTTTAAGATCAGAGACAGTCAAAGATCAGAGAGTGCAAAGTTAGCCTACTTGAGTCCCGTATATATCAGAGAGTCGATGCGAATGGGATCTCGACTGGAACAGCTTTGAAAAGGTTATACCAAGCAAGTTTCGCTACAGTTTTACTAGCTCCATAAACTTATAAAATATATAATATAAATTTGATATGGATCAGAACTAGTTTTGACGTCAGAGAATCAACTATTTTTATCTGGACATGGCGAGCACCAATTATTGTGTAATATACATATAGAGAATTAATGGTACTTAAATGTGTTATTGAATCTGCGCTTCTATTGTATTCAAAAGTCTTGTATATACGACTTTGGCACAGAAATGGTGGAAAGATGTCGAGAGTTTACAAATTATAGATATCAATTAGTTATTGTGGCTAGTTGTGCAGAGGTCAGTTGCTTATGAGGAAGGCTGTTCTGCTGTGCAGTTTGTCAATTGCTGAAAGCTTGTTGAGCCGTGACTGAGATTTCCCTCTCTGGTGTACGTACATATGCAACGAATAATATTCTTAGGTCCATAATGATGTGCATTTGAGCACATTTCAAAAATTAATAAAAAAAATTAATGTTTTATTCTAAACGAGCTAAGCAAAAATTTACAGCCCATTGCGAAAACTGAAAATCTTTATTGCTCTTTGTGGCACTTGGTAAATAAGCAAGCAAGGTAAATAGAATCCAGCGTTGCTACACGATCGGAAGATACCCTTTAGCCAAATTTATTATTGTGTACGTTATTCATAGATGAGTAATATCTTTCGACGCTGCTAGCCAATATACCCCACTGCGTCCATTTACGCTGAGTACAATAGCAATATTTCGGGCAGACACTGGGGCGAAGATTTCAGCTGAAGAGTGAGGCGGAAAAGAGACCTTTAGACATATTTACTAAACACCACCTAGCAGTCGGCAACTCACCTAGTCATTCAGTCAGTCACTCAGTCAGTCAGTCACTCAGTCAGTGAGTCGGCGTCGACGTCGACTGTGAGCTCGGCTCGGAGCTGGGCTTTGTGTTCAGGCGCCTCTTCTTCGAAGGGGGCTTTAAAATCCAGCCGCAACTTTGGCAACGCTCACAGTTATCGTTCGCAGCTGCGCGTTGTTGGACGTCCACCACGAGTCGAGATTCATAATTATTGATATAGTTCGAGTGTGTAGCGCTGAGTGGTGTAACGTGCTAATCGTATCTATCTTCGACTGAATAACAAACACATAAATATGCTGAGATACTTGTGCATTGTAGCAGCTGTTGCTCAGTTGATCGCTTTCTCACAGGCAGAAACGCGTAAGTTCGATCTTCATCAAAGTGTGTGTGTGTGTGTACGATGTCTTCTATGGAGTAGCGTTAGTTAAGGACATGTAAAGGAAATTTCGCCTGAAATGGAAATGAATCTCCGGTTGTCTGTCTCAATAATTGCCTAATTGCCTGAACAACCTGTAAACAGCATGCGTCATACCTATATAATTTCTCAATAGCAAAAATGCTCAGATAAAAGTGTGAAATTTTATTTAGTATTTATCTTTGGTTAGCAGAACTTTGACTTCTAATGGTGCAAGGGTTAGCCGACACATTGTGCAGTTCCCCATTCGAGTTAATTGACAGATACATATATTTATACATATTTGCAACTTTTTTATTTGCCTGGTAATTCATTTGATTACAAAATCCATATAAAAGCCCCAAGGAGTACAGCTATGAAAATCTGAATATTTGCCTACGTTGTCAGCTTTACTTAGCGTCTAATAAAATGAAGTAAGCAACAGTTAATTAGTAAATCTAACTGATGACTGGGCTGTAAGTGCACTTACTATACCTGAGATTACGATCTTCGCAATTAAGAGTTATAATTCATTATGGATATTTAAATCATTATAGATGTCGAGTGATGCGTTTTCTATTAAAGACATAATATACATAATTTGCAGTGGCTGACACAGTTTATCAAATTAAAGCAGATCTCTAACTCGGGCATGGGTACAAAGCCGATTGAAACAGAAAAAAAAAAAAAAAAAACAAAACAAAACAGACAAAGCCGAAACTTCCGCATCCATAAAAGACGCATTGAAAATGCTAACTATGAACCAAATCCATAGTTAATGGGCGCAGCTAAAGACTTCACTTTATTTGAGTTTCCGTTGAACAGCCTTCAACTTGAATTCAGTGCTGAGCTGCAGTAGCGGCGCTAATGATCAGCATATAAATATATATAGACATATTTATAATATATATGTAAGGCTTATTTAATTATATAGCTTCGATCTGTGACGGTCATGCAACAGAATTGTAAGCCATAAGGCGCACTCTAGGTGATTTCAGACAGGTTCTTGAGCATTGCATTTGTATGACCTTGTTGCGGGCGACCTTGCCGGAGATCGCGCTTGCTCTTGGCCGGGCCTGAGCTTGAATATTTGTTGACCGACTTTAGTTCGAGTCATTGAACTTTACAGGAATTGAAAGCAAAACTGATGCTTTTGTTTAAACGACTAAGTGATAAATATTTTTCTGGTTCTTCTTCTTGTTTACCCAATAGCCGCGTACATCAAACAATGCCGTCGCGACGATCCCAAGCTCGGTGATTGTATCAGCGCTGGACTGGAGCACCTGAGACCCTATCTGGCCAGCGGCATACCAGAGATCGAGGTGGGTAACCCTTTCATGCCTATTTGCATTGCCAAACGGGTTGCGCTTGCATAAGACCCAAACCAAATGGCAAATGCCAAATGCGGCGCTTGCGCAACGCCTCGTCCGCCGCACGTCGCGCGTGGCATGTGGCACCAGCCACTCAATTGCGGAAATTGTCTAACTTGATTTGCCATCGAGTTGCCCAAACTAGACTCCATTTTCGTCTCGATCTTTATTCATTTAGCTGCCTTCCGTGGAGCCTTTCAAGATGGATTCGCTGGCTCTGCAGCTGACCGAGGGACCGCAAGGCTATAAGATTACGCTCAAGAACATGGAAGCCTTCGGTGCCAGCAACTATCAGGTCAAGTCGCTGAAGCTCGGCGAGAACGGCGGTGAGCCGTTCAAGGCAACCATTTTCATGCCCAAGCTGAAGATCGAGGCAAAGTACACC